TAAGATGGTGAACAACAGCTCGACCTGGAGCTGGGCTGCCCTGAGTTGCCAGCGACGGCATAGGCTGCAGTGAAGCTGCAGTGGGCTGCCATAAGCTGACGTGTGTGCCAGCAGCTGATGTGAGCTGCCAAGAACCGCTGTGAGCGGCCGGCCGTCCAGAGGCCGGCAACCGATCTGCCTCACCTAGGAAGAGTGCAATGATGATACCAACATGGGCCAGTGAAGCGATGTCCTCCACAACTAGACTGAAGAACAAAAGGACAGCAACTTTTCTGTTCCCCTCCCCCAATTCCCCAATAAAATCTTTAAAAATAATAATAATAATAATAATTTATGAATAAAAAGGCTAATTTGGGGGACAAAGCACTAAACCTTTATTAGTTTAGAATGTTAGGGCGTCATTGACAAAAAGCAAATTGTAGAACTGGTAGCTACCCAAACCTCCTTGACTTTCAAAATGGGGAGTGAAGAAATACTGTCAAAAGTTGACCAAAAAAAAAAAGAACAAAGGTGATCTAGCAGACAAACTAAAAACAATATAATCAAATATGGGAGAGGAATTGAAAAACAGCTTAAGGAGTTACATCCACTTTCATATCAGGAGTTAAAAGTTGATAAATCAAAAAATAGTGGTAAATGCATATTACCTAAGGTTAAGGAGGTAACAATCTAAATTAAATATAAAAACAGTTAAAGAAATTAAAATGGTTCTCCCTGTGAACCTTGAGGAGGTGAAGGAAACCATTGTTTTTCAACAAAAGTCCTTCAATTATGTTGGATTTGTTACCAAGATCATTTTGACGAAAATAATTTTCTACCACACATTTAAAAACAGGCAAAACACTAAAATTATTACTAAAAATTGGGAGTGGCAGGCAAATATTATAATTGGGATTCTATTTAAGAGGGGAGATAAAATATTTTTTTCTTATAGAATGTTATTCAAATAAAAAATTTTCTGCAAGTTGGAAAGTTCTACTGAAGCCAGATCATTTTATTCTTTATAATTCTCTACTTTCTGGTTTATATACAATAAATATGTATTCCATTTACAGGCAGAAATTTTTAAGATTTTTAACGTGAAGAGTTTAATTTTAAGAGTTCAAAGTCAATGTGCCAGGTTGCTAAGAGCCCCACACCTACACACACCGCAGCCTGATTAAGAGCTTCAGAGGGTAGCAGGAACAATGCAGTAGCTTCTAGAGGCCATGTGTTTTAACATTCGATCCTCTTCGTTGTTACATGCTACCCTAAAGGAATGCTTGAACACCACAAGAACAGTATGAACGGAAATGTGCACTTTAAGAGATACCACCAAAAAGTGATTACATTTTAAACCTCGGAACAGTCTTACCTGAGAAAACGACAAAAAGCTCTTTAAAGCATCTTAGATGTCCAGGCTTTCTTTCCCATAAAGCTCATGGTTCAGCTGGTGAAGTGATGTGGGGATAAAAGTGGGAATGGGGAAAACGGAAAACTGCTCTGTAAGCATAGGGCAACAGATTAAAGGTCGAACCAGAGTACACCATTAAATAATCACATGACTTTCCCAAAGTCATGCAGTCACCCTTCCCTGGCTTCAGTTTTCTAGCCAAAAAAAAAGACCTTGTCAATTCTAAAATACTTTGATTTCTGATTTATAAAACCCTCAACTCCTAAGATTCTACAGTTAGCTTTATTTCACAGATGATGGAGCAGAGTAATGGGTAGATTTTATGAAATTTATGAAAATTTTATGAAAATTGGTGATTTTATGAAAATTAATTCAGGGTCCACTGCCATCATTTTTCAAATTTCTACTTAATCCACCAAAATACACTGCCTTTTGAGGCTGTGTAACAAAGCGTGACATATAACATTTACCTTATTCCAACATTAAACAAAGTTCCAAAAGAAACTCAGAGAAATCTTGGCAGTTTGCTTATCTTGAAAGACAATAGTCACAATGACTTGATTTCTTAAATTCCCTTAGCTACTTGACCAAAAAATTTCCAGGGATAGCATCAGATCAGGACCATTTTTTCAGCTATTATCTTCAATGACTATCCAAAGTGAAATGAAGGTGCACTTTACTTTGGGTTGGGGAGTGGTTGTAGTTGGGGGATGGGCAGATGGGTCAGAGCAACTTTCTCCCTCTAAACCCAAGACTAATTTCCATTTTTGCCCTACTTTCAATCACAGTTCTCAGCTACTCCAATCATTCAAAATCTGTATAAGAGGTAATTATTTTGTTTTGCTTGACGGTCTTTTTTTCCTAGTTTTCCTCAGTTATTAGGCTAGCCCCACTCCTATTTCTTAAATATTTGTGTGTATGTGTGTATTCATAAACACAGTTTAAAAATCATTTGGGTCCAAAAAAAAATCCCCCAAATTATTGTAAATTATTGTTTTTCAAGTCCATTTCTATAAAAGTCACAATGAAATATTCAAAACTGCATTTACCTAAATAAACAACACAAGATGCTAGCGATTTTGGACCTTTACGTACTACAGAAACTGATGTCATCCTTTTTAGATCAGCATCGTCACATTGAGGAAAATGTCATGTTATCACATCACATATTTGAACTCTACCAGCCATTTAAAAGTCAAAGAACTAAATACATGTCCACATATCACTCAGTAACTGGAAGAAGACCAGTGTTGGAATAAAATGACCATCAAGTCTGTTTCAGGTCAAGTACTTGTCAGCATCGCACACCAACCCAGAAACAAAATAAAGAACTCCTCCCTGCACAAGATGTCAACAGCTTTGGGAGAGGGAAGGAATAATTGGTCACCAGTGTGAGTCAAAGAGTTGGTACAATAAACCTCGTCCATTACTGTGTATTCATTATAAGGGACCTCACATAGCAATCAAAGTATCAAAAGGGCTGATTATACTTTTAACATAACACATAGTGTCTTAACATACTTTTTAAACTAAGGCTACTCCATCAAAGAAACATGGGCTTTGAGTAAATAAACTCTGAAGGATTTTACAGGAAGCGCTTCCCTTCGTGGCAGTGAACCGCCTGTCGGTGAGGCAATCTTGAACCAAGTGGTCCGACTGGCACGACTTCCATCTGGGCCATGGACAACCTGACCCCCCATGACCTCACTGGTTACATTTCAAGTTCCAGCTTGGTTTCTCTTCTGGAATATAATTATCTTAGGGTACCACAACGGAAAGAATCTTCTTTATGTCTGGGAACACATTTTCCTGTACAGTCTAATAGAAAATGAACGTAAAATTCATTACATCAAAAAGCCGGAACAATGCGAAGGGAACAAGAATGACAAAGCAGGCTCCTGATTCGATGGTATTTTAGGTTACCAAGTACGACATAATAAAACTCCTGACCCAATTTCCATAGAATTCATTTGTCCGGCCCACAACTACTGCACCACGCAGTTGCTAATTACATCACGGTGCTGTGTGCCCATTACATCACCCAGCTGGGAGTGATAAGGCCTACCAAGCGGTGTTCACGTTTCCATCCTGCTTTTCACAAGAATGGAGAGACTGCAGACCACCTACACTACCAAGAGTCCCTCTCCTCCTCAAGCCTCAGAACTTTTCTTGCATTTGTCTTGGTGTCACATTCCAATAGACTACGTAGGCAGGCTCCGCTCCGTGTTAACTTACTTAGAATGAGCAGGGAAGGTGGTTAAGGCTTTGTGCCAGGAGTCTGTATCAATACTGCAGAATCAGGGCAAAGTCACCCATGTGCTTCCTGAGAATCCCCCCAAAACTACTTTATTTTCTTCTCCTCCCTCAAAGAGTTTCCATGTCCCGAATCTCTTGGGGTGTCCAGGACCCTGGAAGAACATCACCGGACTCTGCTTCTGATCCCTTACAATTCCAACATCCAGAGACTCACTTCCTACTTCCAGCTTTCCGGATCTTTGGGACCTACCATCACACATTCACACACGCGCACGCGCGCCCTGAACAGCGTGACTGTGCCCCCCAGCTCCAGGCTGACTTACTTGAGGAAGTACCTCTGGCCAGTGGCCGTGAAGGTCATCTCCCAGCCCGGGGGCAACGGCAGCTCGTCGGTCACATCGTAGGACTGCTGGCGGAGGTGCGCGTGCTGCTGCGCGGTACTGCCCGCAGCGCCCGCGCCGGTGCCCAGCTGCAGGGACGCAGGCGACGAGTGCGAGCGGACGTGCTGGGCGCCGCCCGCCAGCCGGGGCCCCGGGTGGCCGCCGGACGAGTCGGTGCTCGACTGGCGCGAGTGCGAGCCGGAATCAGGCTCCTTGAAGAACGACTCGGGCAGGATCTTCTTCCGCCACGAGCTGGGCTTGGGGTTCATGACCGAGTTGAAGAGAGCTTCGAGGTCCGTGTCTAGGTCCTGCGTGACGTGGATCACTTGCTGCCCGGGTGGCGGGAGCGGAGGGGGCGCCGAGGCCGGATTCATCTTCTGCAAGGAGAAAAGTCAAATTAGCCTTTTATTTAAAGTCGAAGGAGGGGATATGGGGAGAAAACAGAAAAGAAAAAAGACACAGATAGGTGTCCGCCTCGGGATCCCAGACACTTAGCAGTCAAGACCAGCCGGATGGGGGAGGGGTCCCTCCTGGCCTCGAGAATTATGCAACTTTCTTGAAGCAAAAAAGTTACTAAGAGGAGGAGGAGAAGGAAGGGAGGCGGGAAGGGGAAGAGGGGGGTAACTGCACTTGGGACGTTGCTGAACTGTTGGTGGCAAAGAACAAATCGCAACTTTCCAGGGCAGGCAGCCCCCCCAAAGAAGTCTCAACTCGAGCCAACTCCACGATATCTCGACTCCGGAAGCCGGAGGAGCCGGGCGCCCGGAGAGTGGTGCTGCGTGAACAGGCGCGCTCCAGCCGGCACTACCTGGGCGCGCAGAGAAGCCGAGTCTGGTCGTGCGGCGGCCGCCGTCGGGCCTGGGTCGCTCTGGCGCGTCCCGAACTTGCAGGGCTGGAGCCGGCCTCCGGCTGGCAGATCCGGACCCGACTCGGTGCCTGGCAGCCGAGGAGCTTCGGCTCTCACATCCCCCGAACTGGCCTCAGGCGTTCGCGCTCCCGGAGGAGGAGGCGGAGAAGCAGACTGCGCGGCCGCCGCGGCTCCCGGACTGTCCCATAAACAAAGTTTGGAGCAAACTCCCACTCCCAGGAAAGAGGCGGGCCCGAAAGTTGAGCTGTTGAATTATGCATGACCTCCAAGTCCTGAGCCTGCCGGCCCCATCCCGTCCCTCCCCTTCCTCCTCCTCCTCCTCCTCCTCCCCCCAGCCCGGCTCTAGAAAACCTTGGGTGTAGTGGGTACTTTGCAGGCTAAGAGGAGACGGGTCCCCCCCGCCCACTCCAGGTCGCGCGGACCTCTCCCGCGGAGCTCTGGATCTGCATTCCTTTGACTTTACTAGGGACTTGGGGCGGGATCAAAGGGAAAGTGACCCGAGCCTGTTTAATCAAGAGCTTGTGGACCGAAACCAAGGCGGGGGGAGGCGGAGGGCACGCGGGTGAGGGGCTCAGGCCCAGGAAGGGCTGGTCCTGGGCGCCGCGCCCTCCCATCGTGCGGAGTGTCGAGGCCGGAGGGCCCGGAGCGCCTCACGGATCTGTGGTTCTGCCCGAGGGCGGGCCTGGTTGCGCCCCTGCGCGGGGAGACACCGACAAGGCCAGCCTTTCCACGGGAGACTGCTTAGCGCTTGTGACCATATTTGGTCTGGCGAGGAGGCATCTGGTCTGTTTGGCTTTCAATTGTCTGTTCCAGTGCAGACGGTGCCCAGAAAGTGCCTCTGTAGTTAGGAGATGCGGCTTCGCCGACGGGTGCGTTGTAAACAAACAAACTTCAAACTCTTCATCAATGCTTAGTTTCCTCTCCGGGGTGACTCAGGTCACTAGAGATAGAAAAGAAACTTAAGTCGAAGCGGGGTACTGAAAAGGAACGGCAATCGCGCTCCCCTCCCCCGCCACATCCGCGCGGGGAGTGGGAGGATTGGAATGTCCCTGACGCCCTCCAGAGAGCCTGGAACTGGGATGGAACCCGAGCAGGTGGCTGACAGTAAAGAGGGTGCGTCAGTGACCCGGAAAACACACCCACCCTCCCACCGAAAGGATCTGGGTAAGGGGTGAAGACCCCCCTGCCCCTAGATCTAGTCTGGCAAGACAGCTGCGGGAGGTAGCAGGCGGCCTAGCCCTCCGGAGCAGCTCAGTTGCTTCCCTCCTTGTCTCCTCTCCATTGGGGCAAACGGAGAGCGGCTACTGGCTAAATCATGCTTTCAAAAACCCCTACCCCCCGAAATGTGATTCATATAGAAGCTGATGAAATAAGTCAAAAGACGCAATATATGTAAACCACGTTGAACAGCACCCTCCCTCCCTAGTACCTGTTCTTTAATAAAATAGAATTGTATTAAGTGCAAATATTGTGCCTCAACATTTTTATAAGGGTGAAATAAAGTCAAAATTAACCTCAGGAGTTGCCTTGAAGAAGAAAAGTTTACAAGAAAGACAAGGCCACCCCATAGTTTTCATAGTTTTGCTTTGGTAAGAGTATCTGGGGCCACTGCTCTATGGCTGCTGCCAGTCAACACAGCCCAGCAAAATAAGCCACCTACCCCCATTGTCTGTTCTTCAGGGTGTAGCCTGATTTCAGACTCCCTGCAGAGTGGGAAAAATCAAAGCTGCCTTAGAGAAAGACAGCATGGCTCCTTTCCGGAGAGTCTGGGACTTGGGTTTCCCATACAGCAAGTCCTCTGCCCACAGGACCCACAGAAGGAAACTACAGGTCACTCCATAGGAAATAGCATCTTTGCAAAAGCTATCTTCAGAAGCCACAGAGTTTCAACAATGGGGAAATTAGCTATTAAACTAGAGGAAGTGACTGGGACCATATGGTTACTAATTCAGAAGCCGCAAGACATATCTGATAATTAAAGAATGGGAACTTGAGGCCAGCCCTACTCCAGAAAAGTCTTGACCCAAAAGAAGCTCCTGCTTTGTAAAGAGTACCTGGCAGCTACAAGAGAAGAAAATGCTGAAGGAGCCATGAGGCTAAGGGTCCAGTGAGAATCAGGGTTAGGATTGGATGGGCAAGGGTGTTGTCTTTATCCCTTGCCAAGCTTCAAGAAATGGATAGTGGAGGACAGAGGAGCAGATACCTGAAATGAAAATTGCCCTGATCACAGAATAACTCAAAGGGAAACTCCCAGTCCCAAAGAGCCTATCAGATGTGATAGTGGATGATTGAAGAGATTTGCTTCAGTCCTTAGTCCTTCAAACAATAGCTTCAAGGTTAAATAACATTTATATATGTCTTGTATATATCAGGTATTGCCCATACCAGGCAGCATGGTGTAATGATTTAATGTATAATCTCTGGAGCAAAATGCCCGTGTCACCTCAAGCAAAATACTTAAGCTCTCTATTCCTGGGTTCCCTCTTTTGTAAATTAGGGACAATAACAGTACCCACCTCACAGGATTCTAGATCTGAACACTGTACAGGCAGGCATGCCTTGGGCATATTGCAAGTTCGATGATTCCAGACCACCACAAAGCAAGTATACAAAG